CCTCCTCCTCCTCCTCCTCCTCCCCCTCTTAAGAGTATATTGCAGTGCCAGCAGAGAGTGTTGGATCTCTACGAGCTGGAGTAACACACTTATGGGTGTTAGGAATTGAACCTGGGTCATCTGAAAGAATAGCCAACTCTCTTAACCACTGGGTTCTCTCTCTAGTCCTACTTTAAGCAGTATTTTTTTTTAATACAACAGGCTGATAAGACGTTAACATAGATAAAGAAATACACAGTTCCCAAATTATCCTTAATGGCTACCCTACCAAAGGTTGAGACAGAACAGGCAACTGTACTCATATTTTAGTTACTGATTTAAAAGATAAACCTCTACCTGACCCTTTTCTTTTCCTTCTTTCCTATGGCTGGATACAGTCAGACTCCAGGCAACACAGTAGAATTGGGTGACCTAGATCCATGCTTAAGATTTTTTTTTTTTTTTGGTTGTGGTTCAGAGCTGTGCTCCTTATACACAGTCAGGTGTGGGTCAAGGAGAGGTGGTGGGGGAGGACACTTGTTAGCAGTGTCTCAGTGTAAAATGAGACTCTCAGAGTGATGATCATACAAACACTCCTGCTGGTAACAACATCAGCTTTTCACATCTTCATCCTATGGCAGGTAGCCTTGTTATTTTTTTGTCCACATACTTCTCATCTCTGAATTCATAGTTCACATAAGTAAGTGGTATTCTCAGGACACAGACAAGTTTTAAGAATATTTTATTGTTTGTGATTACATAGTCATTATTGCTGATCTAATACAATCACTTAGACATAAAGATTTCCAAGAGCTTCTCAGAACTGGTGATCCTTAGAGGCTTCGCTCCTTCAGTAAGATGACAGTAAGAACAAGATGATTATTTGTATAGATATGTATGTGTTTTACATATATATATGCATATATATATATATATGCTTAGACTTGTCAATGTCAATATATAATTTGCTGGTGTTACCTATTTTCTTTCCATAATTTTCCTTTATTAAAAAAGCTTAATGCAACAATGCATTCTGATTTTTTTTTTAAACCATGACAAAGTTAATTCTGAGGAAACCACAGGAACAGCAATTTCAGATCTGTTCAGAGAAAAGCCAAGCAGCAAAAAAAGCTTTGCAGGAGTGTGTGGCCATGGGGAGCCTTGCTCTCCCAGGAGAGTAACATGAGGAGGGAGGAGGGCAGAGGGAAGGTAGATTAGAGGCATTTTGTTTAACAAGAAGAAAAAGGAAACAATATTTCCACTAAGACAGCAAGAAGACCTTGAAGTAGCACAAATACACTGTAGATAAATGGTATATTTCCCCTCTGCCAGGGCCACATAACCAGACAATCAGCCTTCTTTTTCTTGTCTCCTGGTTGCTAGAGTGCTTGTAAGAGGAAGAGTTGGAATAAGAAGACATTTGCTCTTACTCCAAGTTTAGAGAGAACAATGATTTGGTCCCAACATTAGGACAGAACCTAGATAGGAGCCCTGGGCTACCTTTTTTCTTTCTTCCCAACTTTCCACAAGCCCGAAGTCCTGGGGATTCGCCCCAGGGCCTGGCACATGCTAATCATGTGTCCTGTCACAGACTTATATCCCTATTTCTGGCTGTTTTCTTAATGGTTAATGACACAGAAGTCTCCAGAGAGAAGGGAATAGATGTCATCTGCAACTCACAGGCAGATACCTCACTATGGGCAGCCAGGTGCAACTTAACTTAGAAACCCATGTGGCTCCTTTTTTATTTGGAGCAGGATCTCTTCCCTATAGTGTGGCAGGGTGTACTGTGTAAGTACCAGCCATAGGAAGCTCCACAGAGAGCAAGGCTTTGCAGAAAATCACCAGGTTATGACTTGGGGGTCCAAGCCAGATACCTGCCTAATGGAATCTGCTCTGGACATAAGACGAGGCACAGAGTTACAGAGGGTTACAGAGTGAGACTATCTCAAAACAACAACAACAAACCTCAACAACAACAACAACAAAACAAAACAAAACAAAACAGGTTTTGGTGGTAGTGGGAGAGTGATGCATTCTATTAATAAAGAAACCAGAATGAGACAAACAGAATTGGCTATCTTGGTGAAATCTTCAGTGTTTAAGATCCTCCTTACGCAACAGAATACAGCCACAGATAATGCCCTGTGAAGAGTCCATCTTCTGGGGGTGAGCAAGAATGGATGCCATTTCATAAGGCAAGCAACCACCTACCCAAGTTCTGTTTCCCTATCTTAGAAATTAAGGACACTTCTAGACTAGCTTCTGGGGCACACACAAAGACCAAGGACAGTGGAGATGGTGGAGGCAGGGGAGAAGATCTAGATGAAGGTTTTAGTGATTCTGGGTGTCCTCTGTTTGAATAACCTTGATCTTGAGACTTTGAAGCCGAACAATGTAAGAGATACATGGGAAACAGACACAAGACTTCTAAATAGGGAGGGCCGTGAGAGGGACTCATTCAACTCAAGATTCCTAGGGTCACTCCAGGTTTTAATTCTTGAAACCATCTGATCTCAGTGGAAACCTTAAAACCATTCAGTCCATATCCAGAGAATATCCAACTCTCGGGTAGAATGAGAAGCTTCACACTGTTTACATTACTACTTTATAATGCTGGAGTTACTTAAGAAACTCTCTGAAACAGAATCCTTAAACAGAATGGGCCGGATCATAACGATACAACAGCTGTAAAGAAGATAAGCTATCAGGTTGCAGATCTCAATTTCACTAAGGCCAAGAGCCAAAGGGATGAATGTCTGATGAGGTTCAAACTAGTGCCCCATCCCTTTCCCTAGTTCCCAGTGACTGAGCACAGGACCTTATCTATGCCAGGCAAGTGCTTTACCATGGAGCTAACCTCCAGCCCTCAAACTAGGTTTCATCGTCTGGACACACTTTCTCTTTCCTGTCTTCTGCAGCCAGGCTGCAAAGTCTTTCCTGGAAAACAGACAGACTTGCTTCTTTAGGATATCAAGCTGTACCCCACTCTAAAGTCTCAAGCTCCCAAATCTGTAGCAAACATCTTTGCCAGCTCAGTTCCAGAGGTCATTTCAGGCAACAACAGAAGCACTATTTACATGGAGCTCTCCTTCTCTGACAGTGCCAATCTAGGGGGCCTCCTAGGAACCAGTCCAGTTAAATGGGAAGGAAGCAGAACTATGGGTCCCAGTGGAGCTAGCTGACTACTTCCTGAGCAGAGTTTAGTAGGGTTAGAAAGGAAAACAAACAACTGGCCAACACCAGAGCTGTTAAGATCATGGAGTCACAACCCTCTTAGAACCAGAAAGCATTGAAATGGACTTAGTATTCAAGGAGAAGAAAGGAGTCCTGGGTAAGAGAAGAGATCCCAGTAGGCACGGACACAGGCACAGCTGAGTTCTTGGTGCAGCTTACAAGACCCTACCACTCCTGCCTCACCAGCCTTTTTATAAGGAAGGCAGTGATAGTAACTATCAAGGTTGGGAATTCAGGCCTTGTTAATTCAGTGGCTTCCAAAAGGCCTTACCTGGGAAAGGACCAAAGCTTTGAGAAAGGCAGCTGCTGAAATTTATTCCAGAAAACCCTAAGTAGCAAGGAGTCTGGCATCCCTGAACTAACTCCTGAGCCTGGAAAGAGAACCGGCCATTGCTGAGGATTCCATTACTGGCGATGACGCGAAGGACGCGCTAGGAATGGTCAGCCCATTTCTTTCCTTCCTCAGCCTGTCTTCTGTGGCTCTCACGGCCCAGGAGTAGTAACCACACTCTGGGCCAAGGCTACAGGCACAGGACTCTAGATTTTAATAAATAAATAACCTAACATATAGGATGAGCACGGCGGGCAGCTCTGATTGGAGAAGCAGCTTGCTGGGTTCTTCCTTGGATAGTAGTGGAGAAAAGGCTTGGTTCTATTCCTTAACATGTCTTCTGGCTTGCATTACAGGAACTTAATACCTGGAGGGAAAAAGAAAGTTGAAACTGATGTTATCTGCTGGTGGGGCTGGAACATAAGGAGCCCGTCTAAAGGTGTAATAGAGAGAGACAAGGGCTTTTCTAGTGTATATGATAAACATAGATATCTGTGACTCTTTTTCATACCAGTGAAAAAAGGCCATGGGCCATCAAGAAGGCTCAGTGGATAGAAGCACCTGCTACCAAGCCTGCCCAGGACTCACAAGGTAGAAGGAAAGCTTACTCCCACAGGCTATCCTCTGACCTCCACACGTGCAACCAGGACACATGCATCATGAACATGCACCCACTTCCACCTCCACACAATCACAAAAATAAATAAACAAAAATGTAATTTTAAAAGGCTAGTATTTATGGGGCTTGAGGTGGGGGAAACATCAATGTTTAAAGAAGATTTCAGAATATTCTGAGGTGGGAGACATGGAGGAAATGTGCTGTTTTTCTGAGTTCCTGTAAAGGCGCGTGGTCAAAGATGCAAGGATCAGCTGTACTCTGGGAGTTCTTCACTACGCAGCCTTTTCTGACTTCTGGGGAGCCCAAGGTACCTGTAGTAGTTAGGCTTGAAGGGTCCATTCTTGTTGAGTCCCAGATACTTGGCTTGCTCATCTGTTAGCTCTGTCAGGTGGGCATCAAAGGTGGGCAGGTGTAGGCTTGCCACGTATTCATCTAGAAAGATCACAGACGGGATAAGCATTCATGCTTCCTATCTGGCTGTTCTCCTTAAGCTAGGCCTTAGAAAACGGGAAGACATGTTCTAGTTCTTGGAGATGACCAGAAAATGGCTGACTTCTGGTCTCAGGTCCTCAACTCTAAGGCCTGACTGGCTTTAGCTTCAAGTCCAGTGACTTCATCTCCAGTAACTCTTACCACCCTGGAGCCTTTCCCCAGAAAAGGAAGAAATGATGGGGCAGCACGGGACTTAAAAATGGGAAACTCAACCTTTAGTTTTGCCTTGATATCGATACTACTCTATACTAGAAAAACTAATTATAAGTCTAGAAAAATTAACATCCATGGGAACTGGGGGAGGAGCTAGGAATGTATGCTTTGCTTTAGTGATTTTACACTTTTGAATATACTGTATTTACAGCTTCATTATATAAAGAGAATATAGACTGCTCTATTCATTTTGTTCATTTCACACCCTTCTTTATGTTACCCAGGCTGTTTTGAAACATATTATGTAGACTAGGCTGGCCTTGAACTCACAGAGGTCCACATGCCTCTGCCTCCTGAGTACTGGGATGAAAGACCTGTGCCACCATACCAGACCCATCCAAACTGAATGAAAGGGACAATTTAGCAACTTGTAACAGCAAGACCAGAGCTGATTTATTGAGTTTATAAACACAAAGTGTCATCTAGGTGCCTGAGATAAGCTCTTTAAAAATTTAAGACAGTTTAGTGTTTCTATTATATCAATCACCCACATAATTAACTCTTAACAGGAACTTATATCCCTTAAAAGAAGAGGCTACTTAGCATTTAGAACTGGAACAAGCCAGATTATCACAAGGCCAGAGATATTCTTTTTTTGGGAGAATACCTTCACCCTCCTTTGAGATTTTTACATACATGGCTTAAAAGAGAAAATCTTTAAAACTAAATTGGTAGGTCAGGCATGATGGCACATGCTGTAATCCCAGACAGGAAACAGGAGTGAGTTCAATGACAATCTTGACTACATTGTGAAACCCTGTCTCAGAGCATACAATATGACGCAATGCAATAGGCCCTAACAAAATAATTCTCAGGTAGGTATTCCAAATTGCAACAAAATGCAAGACCCTCTCTAGAAAAATCTGTATGAAAATTACACAAACCACCTTGGAATAGAGTTCTAGCTTCTAGTTTATATGACAAACATTTATTTTCTTCCCTCCCCTCCCCGCCAACCCCACAGGAAGTCAATGCCTCCGAGCTTCCGACAGTGAGCTAATTTGGTAAGAATGGGGAAGAACAACTTACCCATTTTCTTGGGCAACAAGTACACATCTTGCTTATAGCGACCCTCAGGAGCATTGTAAAGTTCTATCAAGGCGAGAGCCTAAAAAAGCAGAAACATGTATACTGACTGATGCACCTTCCAAAGCTGTGGGCTTCTCTGAGGATCCTCTTAAGCACACTTCTGTTCCACTGCAGAGCTTACCTGAGTGGTAGCAGTGATTGAGAGCACAAATGTAGGCACTGTGGAGCAGCTTAGATTCAGGAGACGGCCCTGGAGATTAAATGTGAAGGAGAAGGGCATTAGGACCTGTACTGGCTGGTTTTGTGTGTCAACTTGACACAAGCTGAAGTTATCACAGAGACAGAGGCCTCCCTTAAAGCAATGCCTCCATGAGATACATCTGTAAGGCGTTTTCTCAATTAGTGATCAAGGGTGAGAGGGCCCAGTCCCTTGTGGATGGTGCTATGAGCTGAGAGTCCTAGGTGCTATAAGAAAGCAGGCTAAGCAAGTCAGGAGAAGCAAGCCAGTAAGCAGCATTCCTCCATGGCTTCTGCATCCACTCCTGCCTCCAGGTTCCTGCCCTCTGTGAGTTCCTGTCCTGATTTCCTTTGGTGATGAACAGCAATGTGGAAGTGTTTAAGAGGAATAAACCCTTTTCTCCCCACCTTGCTTCTTGGTCATGATGTTTTGTGAGGAAAAAGAAACCCTAAGACAGGACCCTTGGTGGCCTCTGAGGAGTGATGGAGGAATGACAACCAATTTCCAATTCCTTCCCAATTGAGATTGCCAGACAAAATGGGCACTTGCAAAAGAATTATATCCTTTTTAATTCATTTTAGTTCCTTTTTCTTTTCTCTCTCTTTTCTTTTTTCTTTTTTTCTTTTCTTTTTTTTTTTTTTTAGATAGGGTCTTTCTGTATAGCTTTGGCTGTCCTAGAACTTGCTATGTAGACAAGGTTGGTCTCAAAATCACAAGAGATCCTTTTGCCTCTGCCTCCCAAGTGCTGGAATCAAAGCCACTATATTTTAAATGTTTTAAGATTTTTATCCAAAATGTATTTTTTAACTGATATATCAAAGCAAAAATTATACTATTAGAGAATACCATGTAATCTTCAATACAAGAGTACATCTATCTATTTCTTCAAACCCTAATCATTCTTTAAATCCTTTCTTCCAGCTTCTCAAAATGTCCAGTGCATAACTGTTACCTATAATCACAGCATACGGACAGTATGCCAGAACTATCTACATCCCCAGTTACCTAAACTCAGCATCCACTGATCAGTCTCTGCTGAACCCCAACTACCCATAGTTCCAAGCCCTGGCAAGTGTGTGTGTGTGTGTGTTTGAGATAGAGACTCATTATATAACTGCAAGCTGGCCTGTAACTCTCAATTCTCCTGCCTCAGCCTCCTAAATTGTTGAGATTACAGAAGTGTTCTATTATGCCTGGCTTACCAATATTTATTCTTCTCATAACTCCTATGAGATCAGTGTACTGGACACAAGGCTCATAAATCCACTGGATAGCACTATTCCAGCTTACTTGGGCATTCTCTTGTTGATTTATATTTATCTGGTATTACAACTCATGCTAGATTTAACCTTTTCCTTTGGTGATGAAAGTCTTATTATGTACCCCACGCTGTCTTCAAGCTTACTAGTCGCAGCCCATCTTGCACTCCTACTTCCCCTGCCTCCACTGCCCGAGTGCCAAGACTACAGGCATGCACCACCACTTCAGCCCCATAACCAATGTTTATAGACTACACAGGATTGAGAATAGCCATTACTTGTCTATGCCTGGCTGACTTCACTTAACATTACATCACATTAACAAATGACAGGATTTTACTTTATGGTAAAACAATATCCACTGCATGTACCACATGTCTGTCTGTCAGTCCTGCTCCCGGGCTGATGTGAACAGCTTATAATGAGGAAGGAAGTGCATGTATCTGACAGGCTGATTTGTTTTCTTGTGATGTGTGACAATAGGATTATGGGAACACACAATAGTTCTGTTGTTAGGTTTTTGAGAAGCTCGTCCTGTTTTTCATATTTTCTCTTTTATCTCTTTGATAATGGTAATTCTTACTGGGATGAGGTAATACCTCACTGTGGCTTAATTTCCATTTTCCTGATTAGTGATGCTGAACATTTCCCCCTTTGTTTGTTGGCCATTTGCATGTCTTCTTTGGAAATAGCCAAATGAAAGCACTGAAAATGTGATAAATGTTCCAAACAATTTCTGGGGCTATATAAAAAGGAATAAAGGCAGTCATAGGACACTGATGATTGTGCAAAGGCTTATATTTCTCTCAGTTTTCCCATTCTCTCCAGCAAATACCCTTCTTCTAAGGGTTGGCATTCTTTTGACAATCTTAGGAAAGGAGTGAGTCAAGGCAAGGGACACTCTCTCCAGGCTGGGAGGGAGACAACTCTGGATTTAGGACGCTGTGACAATTTCTGTGCTCTCTGCTCCAAAGGCAGGCAGCCTTGAATTCTGAGTGGACAATAAAGACAGTAAGAGAGCTAAATCCTGCCCCATGCTGTCCTTTCTTGCTTTGCTTCCTAAGAAGCCTGACTAGTGTTTTTGCTCAGCTATATAGCCAAAGACACCTTTAGTGCCAGCTTTTATCACCAAAATTGCTAAGAGGGACCTCCCAGGGCAGTTTAGAAATGTTGCCAGACAGGGAGATGACGTCAAGGCTATTAATAAACATTTAACAACCTGTTCTTCTCCTATCTATCTATACACATGCCTTCCCAGACATACCCTTCTTAAAGTATTTAAGAATGTCAGCTAAATGAGGATAAAAGGTAAAATGAACAGTAAGGACATGTAAAGTTGGCCTTATGTGTCCCTACATAAGGAGATGATATTGTTTATATTTTCATACTTATTTAGGGCCTTTCCTTAAAAGGGAAAGCTTCATGGGGAAAAACAAGAAGCACCACCAGCACCCAGGAATCCCAGGATAGGTAGGCAGAGCCTTCACTACAGGAGAAATGGTAGGAGATGACATAAAGGCTACAAGGGACCAAGGTCAAGACTAAGTGTGAGGGCCTGTGAGGTGGCTCAGCAGGTAAAGGTACCCACTGCCTGCCAACCTGAGGACCAGATTTTGGTCCCTGAGACCCACATGGTGGAGAGAACTGACTCTTGCAAGTTGTCCTCTGACTCCATAAGCACAAGAGGTAACATGTACACGATATCCCTGTCCTCCCAAAAAAGGACTGGAAATATATAGACCAGTGGTGGAGCTCCTGCCTAGCATGTGTACATGAGTGAGGACTTGAGTTCAATTCCTAGCACTAGGAAAAAAAAAAGGAATATGTGTGAGCTAGATGAACAGGATGGGGAGCTATCCATCAAGCAACATAAACAGAATAAGCTGGGTACCTACTACATGTGGCTCAGTTCATCAGTTCAAAAGACACTAAAATAGAGATCCTAGCAGCAAAGACACAACTTTCCCAAAGCTTACCAAAGACAGCCTGAGTTACAGCCAGGAATACCTACTTTGCTTACTGATTAAACCCCACAAAAGACTCTCTGTGAGCTGCACTGACTCTTATCTGCTAACTCCTTCAACAGTAATAGTCATCATCTGACTCAATCTGCAGAGTTACATGGAGACAGGATAATTGGTGAAAGTGACGAACTAGAATAGGTTCTTAATTGCTGAATGAAAAGACCTTTCACAATTACAAGTAAAATCCACTGGTAAACTAGTTAAACTTGTGCTTAAGAAACAGAGTTGAAAGGATCAGGGAACATTTGAGCCAGGGGAGCAAGGAGTCTCTCCTGTTAGTGGAGCAGCTCCTTGTCAGCCTCAGTCTTACCTCTGCCAGCAGTACTATCCTCTTGCCATCAGGCCATATCACATGGTCAACTTGGGATCTTACTCTCTCCCAGGTCAGTTCTGGTGTCCGCAGGCTGGCCTGGAACACATACAGTGAGAATATCATTAGCTGTGTCAAGTCCCCCACATTGGGGACAGAAAGAAGTTGAAGGGAGCCATTTTAAAATAGCAAGTCGAAAGAAGCAACCAACATGCCAGATGGAGAATACCTGTCCTGGGTTGGTTAGGACTGTTCCATTTCAGGGAATTTAATCTTAGGCCCAGCCAGGGAGGGATCACTCAGGAGGTCATTCCACAACATATACTGTACGCCCACTCTCTGCTGAGCACAGTAAAGGTGCTATGGGAAATACAAAAGAAACCAGAGGCATGGTTTCTGCCTTCAAAAAGCTTACATTTCAGTTGGGGACACAAACAATACATATGTGAGAAGAAAATACAAAGCAACATGCAAACAAGTGCAGATTAATACAGTGCAAACGGAATACATAAGTGCTGAAGAGAGAAGGACAGAAGATCAGCGCCAAGTGGATTAGCTGGAGATGGTTGAATGTCGTCCTAAACAGCATGCTGGGAACCATGGCTCTGCCCTCATGGCCCCGCATCCCAGTTTGCAGCTGCTCAAAAGGCTGGTTTACCCTACAGAAGCTCTGTGCCCTAGTGCAGACGTGAGGTAGCTTTCAAAGGAATGCAAGTGGTAGAGAAAAGCACCCAATGGCTCACCCTCTTTCCACTTCTGTATATTGTTTATTCAGAGAACAAAAGAAAAGACGGGAAGTTCATTATCAGCAGCAATGAAATGACAGTCACAGGCTGTGTGGACTTAGGACAACTACGTCCTTCTTCAATAAGCAATGGCTGAAACAGAAAGTGAGTCCAAATTCCAAAACTATCCCATCTCATTCATCTGGTAAAACTGAAAATACTGGTAAAAATATACTACCAAATACTAGACCTCAGACAAGAGGGACATTTTAGTTACATAGTGTGAGCCATTTCTGTAGAGACAGTATCTTTTTTCATTTTTAAATTTCCAAATTCTCTCTAGACATACAATGGAGTACTCAATTAATGTTTAGAAAATCATTCTCTCTCTCTCTTGCTCTCTCTCTCTCTCTAAGAAAACAGTAACTGAATAGTGCAAAAAGACATATATTTTAGTGTATTCAGAACTGTATTTATTCATGCTCTGGATCATTATTTCTTTATTAGATATGTTGAAAATGCAAAATTTGAGACATAAGTTTCATAAATTGATTCAATCATTCTAAAGAGATATTTGACAACAACTACCAAAATGTTATAGATAACTAATTTAATCAATTCGCTTAATTTTTAGACTCCCAAGTCAAGAATTTAAGTGCCTAGGAATTTTAATATAAACCAGGTGTAGTGGTCCAAGCCCTTAATTCCAGCACTTGGGAAGTGAAGGAGAATCAAAGGTTCAAGGCCAGCCTAGGCTACACTGTACCTTAATAAACAAAAGCAAAAACAAATGAAGACTGGTAATTCTAACATAACTCATACTAGCAAATAAGCATAGACCAACAGGGAATGACTAAGTAAATCGACTCCACTGGGTTTATGCAACACATTAAAAAAGAACAAGAAGACAAAGAAGACGAGGAAAAGAAAAGGAGGATGACATAGTAGCAATGATAATAAACCATAACAACAACAACAACGACAGAGGTTTGATGTGTGGCATTGTGGTGCTATTCTTGCCCAGCATGTGTAAAATCCTGGATTGGATCCCCAGCACCACAGATTAAAAGTTATAAGCAAATGAAGTGAACAGAGTTAAACTAATTGAAGCAAGCAGACAACTAAAGAAGTTAAGGATATATACAAAATATATCCTTTAGCCTTTGAAAATATCATATGGAGGAGTATGACCACCTTCTGGCCAAAGCATACAGATACATGGTAAGATGTGCATTTTACATTGAGATGAGATGCTAAGTAGTTCAGATTTTTATTGTTTCATATCATTAATCTTCCAGAGGAAAAGCAATCCTGGTGACTGGGAGCAAAGAACTGACAACATGATACTGAGAATCCTCCATCTTAGGAAGTGCTCCTTGGGAAGAACATGGTGGAATCAAGGAAGGGACAACTGTTTAGAACATAGGAAAACAGTGCTGAGAAGAGGCAGTATAGTAAAAGGCACAGGAATGGCTTCGATACAGTCAAAAAAAACCTTGATGGTCATTTAAAAGGAGGTTTATAAAATACTTGGTTAACTTATCTCCACCACTTTCCAGGGAGGGTCAACGTCCTCACTGTGAAGATGTCTACTGGGCAGTCATGCTCCCTGAGAGTGTTTCCTATCTATGGTTGGGACAAGAATAGCTCTTAAAATCATGGTTGGGACAAGAATAGCTCTTAAAATCAACCAAATGGGGCTGGGCGAGGAGGTCAGTGGTAAACACGTGCTTGGGGGTTCAATGTCTAGAACTACCACTTTATTTTTTTTTTTTAAAGTTGCTTTTTTTTTTTTTTAGATATTTATTTATTTATTTTTATTTATTTTATTGATGAGTACACTGTAGCTGTCTTCAGACACACCAGAAAAGGGCATCGGATCCCATTACAGATGGTTGTGAGCCACCATGTGGTTGCTGGGATTTGAACTCAGGACCTCTGGAAGAGCAGTCAGTGCTCTTAACTGCTGAGCCATCTCTCCAGCCCAGAACTACCACTTTAAAAAGGGGAGTGCGGATGGGGGGAACACTAAATTGGCTTTGTTGTGGATTTGCACTAACCACTCTACCAGGAAGAGGATTGCTTATGCAGATGTCGGCTCCAACTGTAGGCATGTTCCCCTGTAAATGTTATTATGCCTACACATACTGATCTTATATGATTCCAAACAGTTCACAGCATCCCTACCCCCTACCCCCACCCTGCAGGGAGCACAGCTGTGGTTCTGGTCCTTTAAACAGAATTAATAGCAAGACTTAGTTAAATAATTCTTTGGTTAGAAAAAGCCCCTGAAAGCATGTGTATATAATGCATTATTATCACTTGATCTATAAAGCTGACAATCACATGGGCCGTCCATGTGAGACAGGAGACATGAAAAGGAAAGAGCTGGCTATGAAGTAGCCTACAACAGTTCTCCAGTGTTTGTTGAATTCATATTTTTCAGGAAAAAAAAAAGTACAGCTTTCTAAATGGTTAACATTTTTCATGACCTATTCTTTCTTGAAATATACAGTAAGTAATATCTCAAAGTTAGGTAAAACCAAAAATTCCTACCCAAAAGAGTTAAAGAAAAACTTACTTAATTTTTGGGAGAGGGGGAGACACACTCAGGGGGCTCTTACTGTCCTTCCAGCCCACGAGCCTGGAACTCTCTAGGTAGCCCAAGCAGGCTTCAACCCCAGCCTTCTACCTCAACCCCCAAGTACTAAGATTTATTCTAAATTTTAATCACAAAACTATCTGGCTAGCCAGCAGGTTGATCTCTGAGTCTCTACAGAGTGAGACCCTGGCTCAAATACAAAACAATACAAATCTAGCTGGATAAATATTACATAGCAACATTAACTTGATTTATAGATAATTTCTTCTCTAAGTTTTGGTTACAAAGGTCAAATATCTGGATGAAGAATATTTACCAAATAATTCTCCTACACAGAATTGTGATTTACAGAGACTCTCATTCCTTTCTTCACATCGTACACTTGATTTAGCAAATCCCACTGGTTACACTGACTCTTATCAACTCTACTGTTTACCACTGACCAAGCCAGTACCTTCACTCCTGCTTCTTGCTGGTCCCACACCTACTCAAGCCCAGAGGGTTTTCTTTACACAAAAGCCAGACTGATTTATCAAAAGTATACATAGGATACATTTTGTTATTGATTTGTTCAAAGTTGTCCAGTAGCCCCTTCCTATTTAGATCAAACTCTAGTTACTATGGCCACAAAGCTCTGCCTTACTCGTCGCCTCCTCTATCCTCACCCCTGTCTTGTTCATTCTGCTCTGTTGCCAGACTTTATCTTTAAACAATTTACATGAACCTATTTACTGATCTACTTATTTATCTTTGTGTATATATTGGCACTTACATGGTATGTGTGTGGAGGTCAGAGGATCATATATGTACAGGAATTACTTCTCTCCTGCACATGGGTTCCAGGGATTCAACTCATGTCTTCAGGCTTGGTTGCAAGTGTCTATACCTGCTGAGCCATCTTGCTGGCTTCAGCTCTTGTCATTCTGTTTTTTTTTTTTTTCCCTCTTTGCAGTGGTGAGGCTGAACCCAGGACTGTGTGCATTCATCCCAGACAAGTGCTCTTCTACTGAATGACATTCCTGCTTGACCGTTTTCTCTGAGTACATGGTACTCACACGTCTTGCTTTTTCTTTCATCAGCCTTCCCCATCCCAACATTCTATCCACAAAATACCTTTCTTGACCATTTCAATTAGAAGAGTGCTCTCAACACCCACCTTTTGCCTGTTCATTCAATATAACACAGACAGTAACTGTTGACTTATTTATTATCCATTTCCCACACAAGAATGTAAACTCCACGAGCAGCAAGATGTTGCTCAATGCTTTTACTTCATCTAATTAAAACTTGGAACAGAGTAGCATACACTTGCTAAATAATGAATGAACATCCTGGTTCTAATTATTGGCTGAGTTTTTTTTGTTTGTTTGTTTTTGTTTTTTGAGTTAGGATCTTATTAAGCAGCCCTGTCTGGCCTTGAATTCCTAGCAATCTACCTTAAATTTTGTTTTACATGCTCTGTGACAGTTACATCACACTCTAATTTAACTTTCAAAAGCCCTCTGAGCAGCATCTTTTATGATCATACTTTATGCCATGAAGAAATCAAAGAAAAGAGAGATGCTCTTGGCTCCTAATATAGCAAATATGGAGATCTACCTAGCACTAATGGCCAAACCAAGCCTAGTTTCAACATGTAATCTACACGTGATAGGTGATCCTTTTAAAGTAAAAGCCAGATTAGAAACCCTACAATGGTTCCCTGTTTCTCTCAGAATATAACTGTTTCTTAGCATGGGCTGTTAGGCCCTAAAAGGTCTGGCCTGTTACCTCAGACCTCATCTTCTCTTCCCTGTCTTGTACTCACTGCGCCATCTACACCAGCCTCCTTTCACCCCTCAGCTAGAGCAGGGCTCCTTCTGCCTCAGGACATGTGGACCAGCTACTGATGCTGCTCACAATGCTCCTTACCTAGAAACCCACACGATGGACCCTTTCAACATCAGGCTCGCAGTTTGATCTACTATTTAAATAACGACCTAGCTCTCCATCCCCTCTGCCATACTCTACTTCTCTCTCCTCTTAAGAATGTTACTTACTATGTTTAGTTTTTCTTCTCACTTAAATATAAGCTCTATGAGGGTAGGGATGTGTTATGTTCACTGACTCCAAGCATCTAGAAGTCCAGCTGGCATATAGCAACCCTACAGTAATATTTGTGATGCAAGGTAAATGATCTTTTGACCTTTATTCTGAGGAATTACTCATGTCTAGCCCATCTTTAAAGGGAAAACTAGGCCTTGGAGTCAATACACCTGATTTTTTTATTTTGTTTTGTTTTTCTGAAACATGGTTTCTCTGTGTAGCTCTGGCTGTCCTGAAACTCACTCTGTAGATCATGCTAGCCTCGAACTCAGAGATCCACCTGCTTCTTCCTCCTAAATGCTGGAATTAAAGGTGAGAACTACCACATACATCGGCTCAAATACTTGAAGAATTTTGTGCTTCAATTTCATTTGGAATCAGTTGTATGCCAGTGTAAGTCTATGCTTCCCAGTTTAAAGTTAAGAATAACTCTCCCAGAGTAGTCAAGAGCATGGAGTGAGTAAAAGTAAAGGTGTACAAGTTGATGACCACATCCAACATTCAGAGCTTCCTGTGGTTGTGGAGAGAAAGTCTTCCTCCTTCACTCATGTACATAACCGGAATGTAAGAGGACCCCCGCCCCTGCCAAGGAACCAACTACCAGCTCCATTAGTAACTGTAAGCAAACCACGGTGACAAGACAGAGCAACAACACCATGGCACGCAGACCCCCAGACTAGCCCCAGGGCTTGGGAGGTTATCTTGCTAGCTATTTCCTTCCTTCTTTCTGGTGCTATGATGTGGGGATTAACCCTGGAGCCTCATGTGTGGGACACACACACTAACATGAAGCTCCATCCCCAGCCAAATAGTTCTAACAACAAAGAACAGGACACAGGGTTAAAAAGAGAAACCACACAAAAATAACTATTATCCAACGGCTCTCAGCATCAGCTGGTCCTTACCTGAGATGCTGAAGCTCAATCACAGCAGCCCTCAGGATGAAAGCCTGCTATGGTTGAGCCAGTTACCCACAGAGAAAGACAGACATGCCATAAAATGCCATAAAAACTTAAAGCCAGAGTCAAAGGCATACTGAGAGATACTTTGGTAAATCTGAAAAGAAATAAACACACCTCTATCAACTGCTATGTTGATAGCTTATTAGAGGTTTGGTTGGATATAATCAGATTATAGAACTATAGCAATAGACTTCCCAGGTTTAGGAATGTATGCTGTTACACAGTGGTTCTGAATTGGAGGTGGTACCTATAACCTGGTTACTGTGATTTGAGAGATATGTTAAGGGGAAACCTAGGCCAGTGAAAAAGGGAAAGAAAACACTGTACTGGCTGATAGACACAGCCATTCTAAGACAATGTACTCATCCTAGCCCATAGATCTCTCTCCTTTGAGTGTTTCCATGGACCAGCCTACTTATCTTTATGTAAAGCTAAACATCCCCATAATACTTTCTCCATTATGATTCATACTAAGTTTATCCAGCTCCCAATTCTTAACATGGAAAGAGATGTCTCACAGTCTGAGTAGGTAATCAAGCCTGGGTATAAGGAGGCAATCATTTGAAATGGTTGTGATGAAAAAGCTTTCTTTTGTCCCTAAGCACAGACCATAGGGCTGGTAAGTGAACAGACATGGACTGTTCTACTAGAATACTCAGACTATGTTCAGACTAGCTGATACCCCTGCCTTTTCTTCTTCCAGCTTGTTACTTGGGAAGGAGAGAATGAATGAAAAACAAGAAAGGTCCCAGCAATAGTCAGTGAGGATCTTACCACATCAATCTCGGTGTTGGAATGTCCCATGTTACAAACGATGCAGCTATTCTTCATACGGTCCAAGTGCTCTCTGGTTACCACATTCTTGTTCCCTTAAAAACAGAAGAGATAAACACATGAAAAGGAATGAAGTTAGACCTCATTTAATATATAAACACACACAATCTACACATGTATAATGAAATATATAAAACTCAATTCTATATGGATCATATTCTTAAGAGTAATAACTAGAAAGACTCTTAGTTTTTAATAGAAATGTTAGAAGAATCAGAAGATGGAAAGATCTCCCATGCTCATGGATTGGCAGGATTAATATAATAAAAATGGCCATCTTGCCAAAAGCAATCTACAGATTCAATGCAATCCCCATTAAAATCCCAACTCAATTCTTCACAGAGTTAGAAAAGGAAATTCTCAAATTCATATGGAATAACAAAAAACCCAGGATAGCGAAAACTATTCTCAACAATAAAAGAACTTCGGGAGGAATCACCATCCCTGACCTCAAGCTGTACTACAGAGCAATAGTGATAAAAACTACCTGGTATTGGTAAAGAGACAGGCAGGAAGATCAATGGAATAGAACTGAAGACCCAGAAATGAACCCACACTCCTATGGTCACTTGATCTTTGACAAAGGAGCTAAAACTGTCCAGTGGAAAAAGGACAGCATTTTCAACAAATGGTGCTGGTTCAACTGGAGGACAACATGTAGAAGAATGAAAATTGATCCATTCTTATCCCCTTGTACAAAGCTCAAATCTAAGTGGATAAAGGACCTCCACATAAAACCAGATACACTGAAACTAATAGAAGAGAAGGTGGGGAAAAGCCTCGAATACTTGGGCACAGGGGAAAAGTTCCTGAACAGAACTCCAATGGCATATGCTCTAAGATCGAGAATTGACAAATGGGACTTCATAAAATTGCAAAGTTTCTGTAAGGCAAAGGACACTGTCAATAGGACAAAACGACAACAAACAAATTGGGAAAAGATCTTTACCAATCCTTCATCTGATAGAGGGCTAATATCCAATATATACAAAGAACTCAAGAAATTAGACTCCAGACAACCAAATTACCCTATTAAAAAATGGGGTATAGAGCTTAACAAAGAATTTTCAACAGAAGAAACTCGAATGGCCGAGAAGCACCTAAAGAAATGCTCGGCATCCTTAGTCGTCAGGGAAATGCAAATCAAAACAACCCTGAGATTCCATCTCACACCAGTCAGAATGGCTAAGATTAAGAACTCAGGTGATAGTAGATGCTGGCGAGGGTGTGGAGAAAGAGGAACATTCCTCCATTGTTGGTGGGACTGCAAGATGGTGCAACCACTTTGGAAATCAGTCTGGCGGTTCCTCAGAAAATTGGACATAGCATTACCTGAGGATCCAGCTATACCACTCCTAGGCATATACCCAGAAGATGCTCGAACATATAATAAGGACATATGCTCAACTATGTTCATAGCAGCCTTATTTATAATAGCCAGGAGCTGGAAAGAACCCAGATGTCCTTCAACTGAGGAATGGATTCAAAAAATGTGGTATATTTACACAATGGAGTATTACTCAGCTATTAAAAACAATGAATTCGAGAGGTTCCTAGGTAAATGGATGGAACTAGAAATTATCATCCTGAGTGAGGTAAGCCAATCACAAAAGAACACACATGGTATTCACTCACTGATTATTAGATATTAGCCCAGAACCTTGAAATGCCCAAGATGCAACTCACAGGCCACATGAAGTCCATAAAGAAGGAAGACCAAGTTGGGGGTGATTCGGTCCTTCTTAGAAGGAGCAACAAAATACTCAAGGGAGCAAATATGGAGACAAAGCGAGGGACAAAAACTGAAGGAGGGGCCGTCTGAAGACCTTTCCACCTGAGTATCCATCCCATGTGCAGTCACCAAAGGTAGATGCTGATGTGGAAGTCAGGAAGTGCATGCTGATAAGAGCCTGATATGGATGTCTCCTCAGAGGTCTTCAAGAGTCTGACATATTCAGAGGCAGATGCTCACAACTAGCCATTGAACTGATCATGGAGTTCCCAATGGAGGAGTTAGAGTGAAGACTGAAGGAGCTGAAAGGATTTGCGGCACCATGAGGAGAACAATAATACCAACCAACCACAGCTCCCAGGGTCTAAACCACTAGCCTGGGAGCACTTAGGGGGGGAATCCAGGGCTTCAACTGAATATGTAAGAGTGGAGGGCCCTGCTGGGCATAGGTGGAAGAAGAGAACCTTGACCTCATGAAGGCTGGATGCCCCAGGGGGTGGAATTTTGAGGGTGGGGAGGTGGGAGTGGGGGGGAGTAGATAGAGGTTACATCCACAGAGAAGAAGGAGGAGGGGTGAGGGGATTGGGGGTTCCGGGGTGGGTGGGGGATGGGGTAAGGGGACAGCATAGGAAATGTAAATAAAACATCCAATAAAAAAAAAAGAAAAAAAAAGAAAAAAAAAAGAAATGTTAGAAGAACATGAAAATGAACCCTTATGGCTTCAGGTTCTGCAACATCTACAGCAATACAGCACTTTAAACATAAACAACAGAAGAAAACCAGATTGGACTACATCAAAAACATACAAGTCCTTGCTGTAAATGACCCCACTAAGGAAGTGTTTAAAAGACAACTTAGTGAATGGAACAAAATCAAACACTAAAATGGGATTTCTATTAGAAATGTATTGAAAAAACTTACAACTCAACAATAGAGTCAAATAATCTAATTAAAAAATGAACAAAGGATCCAAAAGGATGTTTCTCTAGAGAAGACATCAATGGCAAAAACCAAAAAAAGTCAGGGAAGAATGGAGACTATCACTAACCATCTAAATCATATACCTTTTTATGTTCACTGGGATGGCAATAATAAAAAACACACTAATAAAAGTGTTGTTGAGGATGTAGAAAACCTGAAACCCTCAAGCACTGCTGGTACAATTGTACAATAGTTCTGTTGCTTTGAAAAATAGTTTGGTAACTCCTTAAAAGTAGAGTTACTATTCATATTATTGTCATATAGAGTTACTACATGACAATAATTTTATTCCTGGTTATACCGACAAGAGAAATGGAAACATGTCTACAGGAAGACACGGATTCAATGTTTGCAGCAGCATCCTTCATGACCATCCCAAAGTGAAACCAACCCAAATATCTATGTATGTTCATCAAGAAAGACAAAGTGTGGTACTGCCACATACAAAAGAGTGAAATATTAACATGTTTTTATATGGATGGAACCTGGAAGCATCATGTTAAGTAAAGGAGGCCAGTCGCAAAGGACTACACAGTGTATGACTTCATTTTACATGGAATACACAGAAAAAGCAAATATGTACAGGCAGAAAGATCCGTGGTTGCATGGGGTTACAGGTGTGTGAAGAATGTAGTAAAGAGTGACCATTTATGATAAAGGACTTCTTGTGGGCATGAAAAGTGTTCTAGAATTAGATGATGGTGTGCTCTAGTCCTTCAGTAAAGACCACTACAGTGTGCACTCTTCAACAGTGAACAATGTGCCTGCCATATAAATTATCTCAAAAAGTTGTAACAGCTGTACAATCCTGTGAATTTCTTATTAAGTACTGAATTTGGTGTTGGGATCACCCCTAGGCCCCCTGAGCTATACCTAAAGATAAAACTGCACACATATGGGCGAAAGGCACAACATGGGACTCAGCAAAGTTAAGCTACTAAAAATAAGTCCATTCAGTCCCTCCATGAGGAGGAGGGGAGGACCCATGGGGCTGATGGGTAAAGCAAGAACAGTTCCTCATTGTCCCTGTCCTCTGCTCCCTGTTCTTGCCAAAGCTAGAAACAGTTTTATTTCCTCTCTCTAAGAGAATTATAAAAGAAAACCAAAATGCCTGTGGTTATGGTTTTAATATACAATTATAATAAGTTTCTTAATCTGAGAAAACTAGCCATTTTCAACATTTCTCCCTAAAATTAAAAATCTACCCCTAAAATTAAAATTCTACCTGTTTTAAAATTAATGAAACAACTCTCATTTTTTCTAGCTATGTCTTAATTTATAGGAACTATACAGAAGCATGTTTGCTTTTTGTTCTTTTTTTTGTTTTGGGGGACAGGGTCTCATTATGTAGCTCTGGCTGTCCTGGAACTCACTAAGTAGAGTAGGCTGACCTCAAACTCAAAGAAATCCTCCTGCCTCTACAACACTAGTACTAGGACTGATGGCATGTGCCACCATACCCAGCCACATATTTGCTTTTAGGATGAAACAAACAATGAGGGCTGAGAATGGAGCTCAGTGGTAGAGTATGTATTCAGCATGCTTCTGTAATGATCACAGGCACATACTCCTCTACCTTGTAGCTACGTCCTGAGAGGTTAAGGAAGGCAGAGACATAATAGCAATAAAGGATGGAGAGAAACTTTGATTTAGGGATGACCTGAAGGTCTATTCAGAGCTCTAAACAGGAAAATGTGAAAGAGATAGATTTTTTTTTGTCTACTATTTCTGGTGCACACAAGTGTGTCTCTCTCTGTGTATTCCTCAGTACTAAAGTGTGTCTCTCTGTGTATTCCTCAGTACTGTGACTCCACAGTACTAAAATTATAAGTGTACACCACCATGCCTACTTTTTAAAAAGATCAGTTAGTTCATGTGTATGAGTGTTTTGCTTGCCTGATACATGCATACTGCCTATATGCCTTATTCTCACAGTTAGAAGAGGATGTCAGATTACCTGGAACTGGAGTTATTGATGGTTGTGAGCTACCATGTGAGTTCTAGGAATAGAACCTGGGTCCTTTGCAAGAGCAACAAGTGTTCTTCAGCCACTGAGCCAACTCTCCAGTCACCCATGCCTGACCTTTGTCCATGGGTTCTTGGAATCAAATGCAGGTACTCATGTTTAGTAAGGCAAGTATTTTACCAAATGAGCCAATCCTACTTCTTCAACCCTTGTCTCGCACTTTGATAGTTTGGGTTCATCCAGAATATTTTTCATCCCCCCTCATTTGCTCCATGAAGGCATTCCCGTGCCCCACTCCACTGGCTACACCACAACCATACCTGTACAAGTGATAACAATGTCCACCTGTCGGATGACTTCATTTAGCTTCACTAGTCGAAATCCATCCATGCTGCAGAAATAAAGCAGGAACAGTTAACTCAGCCAGCTATGGGGAGCCTCCCTTACACGCCTGCACGGAGCTCTTCAGGTAATTACGGTGTCACTTCCTGGACAGCTGGAATGCTTCCAGTCTGTTTATTTTGTTTGGTTTTTTAACACAGTGTCACTGTATAGTCTAGGCTGCCCTCAAACTCAGGATCCTCTAGCCTTTCCCTCCAGCCTTTTGCTGGAATGACAGGTATGTGTCACCACATCTGGTTTGGGCTATTCTTCAGTGAAAATTCAAATCATTTCCCTAGTTTATACAGGAGAAATGTAAAAGCTCCCTTTGCATCTTTTGAGCTATTTCTTCCTAATAATAGGGAGTCAAGCAAGGGCTACCATGAGATTTCCAAACCGAATTTATAGAAAGTGACACACAGCCATTGGAACTATTCTCACTGAATCTGTTCCTCTAAGATCATTTATTACATTCTGGAAAACACACACACACACAGGTTTTTTTCTTAGTGCCTTATATTTGATTTCTATGCCACATTAAGCATAACTTGCCTTCTTTAAAGCCTAATTCCACACTTTGGTATAGTGCTGAGGATTGAAACCAGGACCTTGTACATGCTAGGCAACTGTACCCCACTTGGCTACATTCTAAGCCGTGTCCCATATTTAAGTAGTGTGGGATTCTTCACTGGACCCTTCTCTGTTTATTCTGCCATTGGCTATAAATCACTATCTTCTCTACAGTCTAATCTACTTTCTGTCTACCCTGAGCAACAGCATTACTGTCAAACCCAACTCTAGGAGCCAAGTAGTTGTTTCTTCCTAATTGAAACTGTAACCAAATCTTTTTGATTCCTTTTCTTAATTCCTTCAAAGTCTCTTGAATTTATGGCCTCACAGAACATTTTTGGTGGTTTTGAGACAGGGTCTGAACTTACTTTGTGGAACAAGCTAGCCTTAAATTTGAGGTAATTCTCTTGTTTTTCTTTTCTTGTTTTGTTTTTTTGGTTTTTCGAGACAGGGTTTCTCTGTGTAGTCCTGGCTGTCCTGGAACTCACTCTGTAGACCAGGCTAGCCTGGAACTCAGAAATTTGCCTGCCTCTGCCTCCCAAGTGCTGGGATTAAAGGCGTGCACCACCACCGCCCGGCTTGTTTTTCTTTTCTTTTTTCTTTTTTCTTTTTTTTTTGGTTTTTCCAGACAGGGTTTTGCTGTGTAGTCCTGGCTGTCCTGGAACTCACTCTGTAGACCAGGCTGGCCTTGAACTCAGAAATCCGCCTGCCTCTGCCTCCCAAGTGCTGGGATTAAAGGTGTGCACCACCACCGCCCAGCGAGGTAATTCTCTTAAGGTGCTGGGATTATAGATTTGTGGGCCACTTTGCCTAGTTTGCTCCCTTTTATCCCTATCTGCTGGCTTTGGTAAGGTCAGGTCAGCATTGCATGGCCCAATCTCATTGTCTCCAGGTTACATCTCTCAAAATCATTTTGCAGAGTGATTTCCCTAAGTGCAATTTGGAACATTTTATTTACATGTTTAAAATACTCCAGGTTAAGACCTAAATTCTTATACTGATAAATGATTATATTTCCATTTGATTCTAACCTCAGATAATACCATTCCCCAAATTTACCCAGTCTGTGAGCTCCTGAAATATGCTATGCTATCCTTTGTTTGGAGGCTATGCTCTTGCTCCTTGCATTGGATACATACTTTCAAACTGAGAGAGAAAAAAAGAATAAAAAAACCCAACAAACAAACAAACAAACAAATAAGCCAAAAACTCTGCCCAAGTTTGAATACAGCCTTGCTGACATTCCTGTCTACAGTGCCTCAGTCTTCTGTTAAGACAGGTGTTCTGTGCCCTTACAGCACTGCATGCTGTTTACAGTGCTTCCGACACAGCGCAGGGGCTATCTGTGTTCTCTTCACAGCAGAGCCTTGCCCCTCCACCTACTCTTCTCATTTACCCTCAGCATATAGCTTGTACGGCACATACGGCATACACGGTAAGTTACTGGTTTGTGGCTGTGAGACAATGTGAATGAACTGTCATCAGTGTCTTGTTCCGGTTTCTATATTGAAGAGACAGTACCAGAAGAGGGGTGGTCCCTGTGTACTGAAGCCAACTAGAGAAAGCCATTGACTCTACTGGGGAACTCGGCTTTGGCAGCTTACGGCTGGGCTCTATGAGTGGCAGGACAGAAGGAACAGGCCTTATTCCAACCTTAGTCTAGCTCAGTGTCCTTCTTCCAGAGGTTTAGCAGTAAACACTGCACAGAAAGTAAAAAATGTAGATATATACCACAGAAACTTGGACTTATAGTAGCTTTTAGTGACCATGGTGTTTCTCATTCTGTGGATGATGGAAATAATCTTAGTGACAGTTACCACTTAGTGAGGGTCCATTTTGTGACTTAATTCTCACAATACTTTGAGGTAAGGATGATTATCTATATTTTATTTGCTTTATTTGACTATTATAGTTTTAGTCAGAGTCTGACTATGTAGCCCTGGCTGGCCTGGAACTTACTATATAGACCAGACTGGACTTGAACTCAGAGATCCTTTTGTCTCTGTCTTCTGGGGTTAAAGCTGTGCCCTGCTAGGATCCACATTTGAAAGAGGAAAAAGAAACTTAAAAATTTTCAGTTTAGATTCTAGCCTTAAGAATGATAAGAATACCACAAACAGTTTCCCACACGTTCTTCACACAGGAGTGAGTGGATTTCACTCAGTTTCCATTAGTTTAGTATTTTCTCCTAGTTAGATCTACATTATACATTTTTGGGAGGACTACCACAGGTCTTTGCAGTGTCTATTATATCAGAAATATTATATTATTATTATATATAATATAGATATTATAATATATTATCTATACTATACATAGATATTATATATATTATATCAGAAATATCAGGTCTATTATATCAGAAATCTCTGACACAGCCTATTGCACTTCCCTCCCCTCTTTTCCTTCCTGCTGAAGACTGAACCCATGTCCAACCTAAGCACATGCTCTACCACTAACGTGCTCTTCCTCATCTAATCTAGTGCTCTACCACTACTCTCTCTTCCTGGCAGGATCTGTAGCCAAGGTCTTACTCTGTAACCAAGGCTAGGAAGTCACAATCTATTTGCCTCAGACTCAGGAATGCTAAGATTATAAGTCTGAACCTTAAAAACAAAATACTATGTGTGTGTGTGTGTGTGTGTGTGTGTGTGTGTGTGTGCGCGCGCGCGCGCACGCACGCGAAGGTAAGCACAGGCCAAGGTACACCCATGGAGGTCAGAGGACAACTTTGTTAGAGACTGAATTTAGGTCATCAGGATTGCACAGTAACCACTTAGTCTAGTAAACCATCATTCTGTCCTGCCTTTTCTTTTTTGATCATAACTTCCAATGGTGTGGGGGTTACACATGAAGAGAGACATTAATGAGATATTTGTCCTTCAAACCAAAGCATTCCTTGTTACTATTTCAACAGGAATTCCAAATTCCCACTTCTCTCAGAGCAGAACTCCTTGACTTTTGCAAGACAGAAGCTTAGCGTTCCTTCAGCAGCTTCCCTGGGCATGTGGGTGTAAGAGGTGGCATGGCAGCTCCACGGTGGCACTGCAGCCAGCCATGCAGAGGAGGAGCAGGCATCCTGTCATGCTTACCAGGCTTGCAGGGCACAGATGGGGTCAATTTCAGTTACATACACGATGGAACCCATGGCTTTCAGAGCAGCACAGCATCCCTTTCCCACCTGAGCAGGCAAAGAACACACACAATGAAGAGAGTCAGTGAAAGCTCACTTCTCGAAGCTTCTGGAAGCTTTGGAAGGGCACCCTCTATCTTCTCCTCAAAGTAAGTTTGCTGAATAGATTCATGCTTGGGGAAAATTAAGAAAAACAAATCAGTCCATAAACAAACCCTGGCCCTGCTTAGCACATTCACATGCATGAGAACACCCACACGCACGATTTATAATCAAAACACAAGCTAAAAGAACATCACAGACAGCGATGTTGGAACAAGTCAGAAAATCAACTCAAGAAAAAATACAAAGGGAAAAAGAAAGGCACTTAATTCAAGGCCCTCTATAAAGTTACGTGTTCCCATCTAACATGGTCCATGAATATATTCTGTCTGTACATAAAACTCTAGAACATTTTAATTCAAACACATTTAAACATCCAACAAGTAAAAGGTTGAACTTTACCTCTCCATAGCCACAGACCACCACCTGCTTTCCACCAAACATCATATCTGTTGTCCTTTTAAGTCTGAGGGAAACAAAATCAAAACCATACCATTCACTTAGAAAAAACTTTCTACATGAGGCTCGTGCTTTTGTTTTAAAGTTCTTTCATTTTGAGGGAAAGCAATACAGTCTGTATTTTGTACTTCTAACGAGCTCTAGGTAAATGGGTGTGTGCAGCCTCCCACTTTAACCTCTCGCTCGTTCTTGGGAGTGGTGCAAAAGGATGTAGAATACACAGTAGCTTGTAAACAATAAAGCAATGTACACTTTTATATTTTGAATAGCTATGGGGAAAAAAGAAATGACACAAATAAGGAAACAGTAATTTTAATTTAGGAAGTGACAGTTCTGACTGAATGGAAATATTACTTTGCCCTGCTGTTTTAGGAATACACCTAGGAATATGTTTAGGAATATAAGTACTGTACTTAGCAGTATCAGAGTGGCCAGTCTGGTCTTACATGATTCAATAGGGAGAGTAGTGGACAACGGTGCAGAGAGGCTGTGAAGTCTGCTGATGCTGACTTTATAGACAATAAGCTTTCTGGGTTCATTTGGAGTAGAAATGTTCTACTTTTGGATCTTGTTCTCTATGAAACTGATCCTTTCTGTCTCCAGGATTTCTGGCAAGAATGTGTAGGAATGAGTTCTGGTTTCTCTTTGGGTATAATGAGATTACTTTTTCTGAGAATCTCAGTCAAGACAAAATAAGAGTTTCAACTAAAATCCAGCCGATTTTGAGATACAAGGTCTCTCCAAATACGTGCAAAACTTCCTACTTATGTATCCATTTACTTACCCCTTCTGGTGCAAAGGGTCTATAAATGCCCACAAGAAAGTAAGAATCCTATTTTTAATAAATGGTTTGGTAACTCCACAGCACTGATACAGCTGCATGTACCTTGACGAAGCTCATTTAACACTATTAGGTGTGAGGATGCTTCTTTCTCACTGAAGAGCTAAGCCTGGTGAGGACCACCACACTCAGAAGTCATGGGTTAGCAGAGTGGTCTTGCAATGGCTAGCACAGCAAGGAGAATCAAAGGATTTATTTCTAGGTCTCCTTTCCTTTGACTACTTTTCTGAAGCTTTTCCTCATCTCTCTCTTTGTAACTACACATAGCTGTGGTGGTCTGGAAGCTTCCTTCACACTGCTCCTCTGCAAATGACAACCAGGCTGCAGACACGGTTAGGCAGTGATTTTCCTGTGTTCTCAGGATTTTCCTCAAGGATAAAGGACAAAAGAGACTTCACTCAAGGAAGGACTGGGGGCAATGGCAAGCTACCTGGTGCTATTTAGGAGTCATGGCAACTCTTTGAACTTCTCTTTGGTTCTTCTAGCTCCACGGCCCTAGGAGAGCTAAAACACTATTCTACAATGTGAAAATCCTAGCTGAGCTCCTTAGGAGCTTCGAGGAAATTTTTCTTCTTCCTCAAGTGGAATCTTAGTCAGCAATACACAAGGAGGAGCTGGCAGGGCTTCCTGATGCCTGTGTGATGGTAAATTTTGACTGACAACTTGAGGGGACTTAGAATCACCATGGTACCAAACTTCTGGACATGTCTTTGAGGGAGTTTCTAGACTAGGTTAACTGATGTAGGAAGAACCTCAGCATAGGCAGTACCACTCAGGATAGAAGTCCTGGACCAAATAAAAGGAGAAAGCGTCATCTTCACCTCTTTCACCAGCATTCATCTTTGCTTTCTGACTATGGATGCAATGTGATCAGCAGCTTCCAGCTCCTGCTGGCATTACTTCCTGTCATGATTATGCCCTAAATAACCTTCCCTATGTTGCTTTTGTCAGCTACTTGGTCCTAGCAACATGTAAAGGGACGAATACAGGAAGTAACTATCTCAGAACTATAGAAGATTAAATATTAATACCTTTCTCATGTGGATGCTCTCTTAGTCCAAGTGCCTGTCCGCTCTGCTGCCCCTCCTTTTCTTTCTGGTTCTGTGAGACAGGATCTTATATAGCACTACCTGGCCTCAAATTTATTATATAAGAAAGAATAGTCTAGAAAACTCAATTCACCTCCTTAGCCTCTGAGTGCTGGGATTACGGATGTGAGCCACCATGCCCAGTTTCTATCACAGGTTTCTCTAGAGCAGTTTTTTGTCTCTCTTGCTCTCATCTCTACTGAGAGAACAACTGCCCTTGATCCAGTTGCAGTTTGGCACTGTCTGCAGGTACCAATGAGCTCGTACTGCTTAGCAGGTTTAGATAAACAGTCCAGGTCCCTGCTCCTCACTGTAGAATCTCACTGTAACCCTCACTCTGCTGCTTGTACACTCTTGTATACTCATGTACACCACAGTACAAGCTTAAGATTCTTCCTTATCGAGGGAGTAAACTATGGTTGGGAGGGACTCTATCCATTTTTATGAAACAGTAGAGTTCTCTTCATGCATCTTTTACTTATCCTGGTATAGGCCAACTTTAGGTTCACATATCTGGTACTTGAAAAGTCTAAAGGATAGTTGTGGGTAGATAAGTATTTTAATGAAATATATACAAGTTACTATTACTGTGGTCAGAATTGAGGTATCTGTCACAATGACCCTTACATGAGGACACTCCATGGCTGACTACTGAGCTAAGAATTTATGAAAATGTTTAGTCTATTTGATACTTCTGATTCCATAGTAATTCAGTAGGTAACAATAGTTACAATGTACATCGTACATTCCACCAAACAAAGAAAGAAAAGAAAGAAAAGAAGAAAGAGAACTCAGCAAAACCTTCCCTAGATTCTTACTGAATCCTAACACTTACTATACATGAAGTTCTAGACAGACAATCAAGGTGCTGGGTTTGGTTGCACATGACTGTTTTAAAGCATGATGAAAGCAGAACTGCGCTATTGAGGCCAGACTGGGCTATGTATCAAGTTCCAGGTCAGCTGTGCGTACACAGTGAAATACCATCCTGACTTTTTTTTTTTAAAGGAGAGAGGTAACAACACTGAACAACTTACCCTGTCTTATTAACTCTCACAATAACTCATGAAGTAGGTCATAAAGTTACTCTTTTACAGATGAGGGAATATGTACGGAGGGTAAGCAAGGGGCTACAGTTAATGAATAGGTAATGGGAGCAGCGTTTACACTGAGGTCTTTCTGGATCCAGTGCGGTGGTGTCACTGCACACACTGAACAGTTACGAATGCCATCCACAGGACCTCTCCTCATTTTCTTTATTAACCCATCTGTGATAGGAACACTGAACTTGGCATATTCTAAGCTGTCTGATAGTTTTACTTAGATACTTACTTGAGGGCTGTGATTTGGATCTAGAATGTTCCCAAAGGGTCATATGATAAAAGGCATGGTCCCCCAGCTCACTTTACTAAAATGAGTTGAAAACTATAAGAGGTCAAGTCTTGTGGGAGGTGTTCTAGAAATTGGCAACACGTTCCTGAAGGGGTAGAGAGGACCTGCACCTTCCTTGCTCTTTTCTTACATCTCAGAAGCAGTCGACTTTGCTTCATCACATGATCCTGACTAACCACACACTGCTTCACTGCATGCCCCAAAGCAAACATGGCCACCTGCCCACAGACCAACACCTCTAAAACTCTGAGCCAAAATCAAGCTTTGATTTTCAAAAGTTGAGTATCTCAGGTATTAGCTACACTAATGGAATGCTGACTGCACATGGGTCTTCCTGACAGTAACGAAGGGATGCCAGAACACAAGGTGGAGAAAGGGCGAGGACTGTCAGACCTGTAACTCTCACAGAGCAGAAAGCAGAAATGCCTCTGGGAGTTCATTCTTTCCTCCCACAAGTTTTTAGATAGTCAAGAAATTCTACAACAGTAATAACATGAGAATTATATGGTATGGGAACCATGATCTGAAATAGGACTATGTGAAATCTCTTTCAAAATCATTGTTATGCTATTTTAATAGCACAAACTACGAACTCTGCTTACCAATAGCAGCTAATCCCATTTCTTTTATAAAATTTTGTTTACTCTTATGTTATGAGTGCTTTGTCTGCATGTTTGTGTACTGTGGGTGCCTGGTACCTGAGGAGACCAACACTGGGCTCCAGATCTCCTGGGTCTGGAATTATAGACAGCTGTGAGCTGTCATGCAGATACTGGGAACCAAACACAGGCCTGCAGGAAAAGGAGCCAGGACTCTTAATCACTGAGCCAAGTCTCCAGCCCTAGTCTAATATTCTAAGTGAAAGAGATTTTCTTGTAACGGTGAGTGATAGTAACCGAGCTCTGGGTTACACAGGCCTGGGTGTGATGCGGTGAAACATGAAACGTTCCAGAAATAACTAAAACCAAAGATGCTGGAACCATAAGGCAATAACCCAAGATCACCTCAAAGATAACAGACATTACCCGTCAAGAATAGATTCACGGCAACAGTAGAGGTTATCAAATTTCTGTTTAGTGACTGAGTCATTGACGTTCATGGCTGGAACACACAGCTTCCCAGCTTTGGACAGTTGGTACAGCCTGGGAAGGAAAGAGGCAAGAAGAGCACAAAACAACCAGACATTACAATCTACTATTGATTTTATGTCTGCTCTCTGAAATATATTGATGGACTGAGTATGAAAGCAAAGATATAACTAATTCCACCCTACATGACAGATACAGAGAAACAGATAATGTTTAAAGAGGCTGTATACATCTTGGCAACAAAGCTCATATTCAAAAAACCATATAGAGAAAATCTTTGGTCCAACTATGTTTCAAGATCTTAAAAAATTCTGAGACAGGGTCTCACTGTGGAGTCCTGGCTGGCCTGGAACTCACAGAGATCCACTGGCCTGTTATGGCATCAAAGGCATGCACTACCATGCTCATTGCAAGACTGAGACTTTAGAAAGGTTCCTAGCTTTGTTTTGTGTGTGTGAGTGTTTACTTGAATGGATGCATGTTAAAGGCATGGGTGCCTGGTGCCTGTGGAGGCCTGAAGAGAATGTGAGATCTTCTGGAACTCAGTGACAAATGTGGTGAGGTGCCAGGTGGATCCTGGGAACCAAACCTGAGTCCTCCGCAAATGTAGGAAGAGCTCTTAAACCACTGAGCAATCTCTTCCAACCTTCACATAAGTTTTATATCCCTTTTAATAAAGAAACAAGTAATGTGGGGGCTGGAGAAGTGGCTCAGTGGTTGAGAGTGTTTCCTGCTCTTCCAAAGGCCCATGTTGATCCTATCAAGAGGCTTGGATCACCTGTCACTCCAGCTTCAGGAAATCTAATGCCCTCTTCTGACCTCCATGGTCACCCACAAACATAGCATACATTCACACAAACACATACATACACATAAATAAAAACAAATAAATCTTAAAAATAATAAAGAACTAATTTTAAACAATACTTTAAAATCTAGCATAATCCTACTATTATTAGTAGTTTCTAATTTGTAACAATACACAAACCCGTAAAATGCATAGCTATACATGCATGAGTTTAAAAACTAAGTCCATTAAAAAGGAGAAGTATTTATTTTATTAAAACTTCACCTCTTGGAGCTAGTGATGAGGCTCAGAGGGTAAGGGCTCTGCCAAATCTGACATTCTGAGCTCAATTTGTGGTACCATTATGGTGGAAAGAACGAACTAATTTCCACAAGTTGTCTTTTCTTGTGGTATCTATTTGTGACATGCAAGTATGTGAGAATGCATGTACACATATATAAATTTAAATGTAGCCCACTTTAAGAATCAAAAGGTTGTTGTAAACTATAGTTTTTTGTTAGTTTTTTTACTTTTATATGCATTGGTGCTTTCCCTGCATGTGTGCCTGTGTGAAGGCATTGACAGTTGTGAGCTGCCATGTGTGTACTGGGAATTGAACCTGGGTCATTTGGAAGAGCAGCCAGTGCTCCTAGCCACTAAGCCATCTCTCCAGTCCCAAGCTATAGTTTCCTTTTTTTCCCCTTTCCCTCCTCCCTCTCACTCTGGCCCTGCTCGCTCTGGCCCAAAGGTTTTTATTTTATTTATTATATGTAAGTACACGGTAGCTGTCTTTAGACACACCGTAAAAGAGAATCAGATCCCATTACAGATGGTTGTGAGCCACCATGTGGTTGCTGGGATTTGAACTCATGACCTTCGGAAGAGCAGTCAGTGCTCTTAACCATTGAGCCATCTCACCAGTCCCCCAAGCTATAGTTTTATATGTTCAAAAAGATTAGAAAACATTAAAGCAGTCATGGTGGCATGTTGAGTGAAAGTTTTTATTTTAATGCATTTAAGTCTTTATTGGTGAATAAGACTAACAGAAATGATTCTAGTTTTATCCAAGGAATTACTGCTACGTTGTGATGGGGCCCAAAGCCCTTGCTTGTAGTCCGTGAGAGAGGACAAAGGTTGTTATCTATTGTGGGTCTCTAGCACAGAACAGTGCCTGCCTTATTGTAGTAGTTCAATAAATATTTACTGAATGAAATAAACATGTCCAAAAAGAGCAAGCAGTCACGCACCACAGCGACAAGAAAGCATGAGGACCCCACCTGCCTCTCCACCTGAGCTGCTCACCATTTTAGGTTTGCAATTTGTGTTGTTAATTAAAATACGTGCCTAGCCTTAGACTTGTTACCTTATAGAAAAGCTCCAATTTTCAGCATAATGTAATGTGTTCTACAGACATGTGATCATAAGATTCTATATATAAGTTAGGGATGACTGTTAAATCTTACCTATGGACTCCAGTAACACTCTCCTCGACTATGCCTTTGATTTTCTTAAACATGTTGGGATACTTTTTATAAATCCAGTGAGTAAGATCTCCTCCATCATCCAATATCTGCAACAGAAGCATCAGGACTGTCATTTGTCTTGCTGAAGGCGTAGGCTTCAGGGTCTCTCAGGGTACTGTACCCCAATTCCTAATTACCAATGTACAGGCACTTATAAATTTCCATACAGTTATGAAAAGTACCTTAAAGCCTGAGTAAATATAATAACCTACAAATAAAAGAGTCATTGTACTCTAAGAAAAGAGAAGAGGAGAAAGACCAACTCTAAGTCTCTCTGTCAGAAGATCCTACATTATTAAACCACATTGCAATATATGATTATCTTATGGATAATCAGATCAGGAGGCCATCGAGACCTCTAGTTCTCGAATATACTGCAGATCTTTAGAAAACTCAATACTAGCTGCTGATTTTAGTACTTTAAATGCATTCAGCTAAGGTTTAGTTTAAATAAAAGGACAGATAATTAGTCTCTCTCTCAGAACAATGGCTTTTAAACCTGAGTTGTTAAGCCTTTACTTCTCCCAAAGCACAGGCACTCTCCCACCCAATGTCTCAGGCAGTGCTGAGGTTTTGCCTAGCTCAACCTCACACGCTGTATAAGCCAAATTAAAAATAACCAGGGAGCCGTGCAGCATGTAGGTGTATAAGCATGCCTCTGAACAGCTCGTCACCACTTCAAGTGGGGATTAAAGATAAATACAATGCTGTGCCCACTGGAGCTTCCCTCAGCAGCGGAAGGTTTCTGAGTTGTAAGTCAGGCATAAGGCGGTGGAATATCAGCCCTCCAGGAATGTTAAAAGGGCTCATCAGGACTTTTCCAAATTGTTACACCTCTCCTGGAACGTCGCCGCAGAACTTAGTCATCCTCTGTTGGCACGCATCTTCTTTAAACTTCCAGGATATCAACACTAAAGTATCAAAATGCCATCCTGAATCCCAGGGCACACAAAACACCCAGCCTCAGGTCTATCATTTGATCTTTGCTTCTGCTCCTACTATTATAATATACTTTGTCTGACTCAATCAAATCTTGATTGAGGGTAGGGACCAAGGCAGAACTCTCATTAGAACTCAGCCTTGCTACACACCTACAAATGGAACCCCTAAGAACCCATATTCCCAAGAAACCCAAAAGAGGGATACAGATCAAGGGTAGAGACCCCAGTTTCAATCCCACTGTTTTTTTTTTTTTGTTTGTTTGTTTTTTGTTTTTTTTGAGACAGGGTTTCTCTGTGTAGCCCTGGCTGTCCTGGAACTCACTCTGTAGACCAGGCTGGTCTCAAACTCAGAAATCCACCTGCCTCTGCCTCCCAAGTGCTGGGATTAAAGGTGTGCGCCACCACTGCCTGGCATTCAATCCCACTGTTATTCCCCCTCTAGCCCTACTTTCTACCTTATCTTTTGAGACAGTATCCTAACCTGGAGCTTGCTATTTGGGTTACACTGGCTGACCACCAAGCCCCAGGGCTCTCTCTTTTTCTTAATCTGTGACCCTCCCCCTGCCCCTTGGTGCTGTGATGTACTTTTATGTGAATGCTACGGACCCTAACTCAGCTCCTCATGTTTGGGCAGCAAGCCTTCATCCAATGAACCATCTCTCCCGCCTGACCTGTAACTCTTGATCCTCCTGCTAGGACTGATTATAGGCATGCATTATTACTCCTGGCTTACACAGTGCTGGGGATAAAATCCAGGACTTCATACAGGCCAGGCAAATACTCCACCAACTGAGCTATACCCCAGCGCCTACTTTCCCCTTTAAACAAAGGTATCTGACATGGGTGAGGAGCTGCTATTTATAGTATTTATTTAAAGACTGCAGCCTATAAACTCCCTGTGCTGTCCTACTGCAGAAAATTCTTGACCTCAGATAATCCTCTTCTTCCCGAGGCTATAACATAAGGAAAAGTCATGGGTCTTGTTCTGATGAGTCCTGTTCTGTGAGGCAACAGCTACTCTGATCCTTGTACTGTCTTTACTAACTTTTCTAGCAGCTGTGCTGGCTCCATAGACTGTAAAGGCTCTGGGTATGATGCCACAGACTCTGTGTTCATGACTATAAAATTAGCTTTATACCCAAGAGACATGCACCCTGCCTCCTATCATCCTTATTATCTGTCAGTCAGACTCCCTCCTTGTCACCCAAAATTGCTGGAATGAACTGACTCATCTTACATCATCCCCTCCCTCCTCAAGCCAGCACTTGGTGCCATGTGACCTGGACCACAGGCATCAGCAGAAGCTGGACACTTGGGCACACTGGACAGAAATGGATCCACTTTCCTTTCTTTACTGGGAAACCCAGATCCAGTCTTCCCCACCATTAGCCCTCTCCTCATGAATTGCAATCACAGAATCGGACCCACCATGTTTGGCTGCCAGCCCTCCACATTCACACATCTGTCAATGCACCACCAAAAGTCATCTTCTGACTCTCCTTTCCAGGCAAAGACGGGAAACCCTAAAAATAATCAAAAGAACAAAGGAAAACTATTAAATGCTACAAAAGGGACAATCCCAAATTTTAACAAGGAGTGCTGACTTCGGCCAATTACAACCTTTTTCATTTTGCTGTATTCTTTGGATTAACTTCTTTCACTGGTTAATATAGCCTTCAAGTCCCCTTATCCATACATTTCCCTGTAGTAGCTATTCATCTCTTCTTGGCTCAAAGGACAAGTAGTAAGAATGTGAGAGCTGCTAAAAATAGGACTATTGGAGGGTCAAGAAGGAACCAGAAATATGTTCTTGGTCCATTAAAGCTGGTAGTCTCAGCATCTCCCAAGCCCACTTGTTTTTCTTCTGTCAGGAACTCCACAAGCCTCACTGGGAAACTTTCGTATTCTTACCTACTAAAGTGCTTGTTCCACATCACAGCCCAGTCAAGTCCACTGTGCAGGCGGCTTAACTTAGCTGGGTGAGAACCAAATGAATCTCAAGTTTCTAATCCATTTAATCCACTAAGCCAGTGCTCTACCACTGACCTTCATTCCTAGCTCTACTTATTCATTCATTCATTCACTCATTATTTATTCATGTAGGTAGTTTTGAGACAACATCTCACCATGAAGTCCAGGCCAGCCTTAAACCTCTGGCCATTCTCATGTCTCAGCCTTCTGAGGGCTGTGACTGCAGGTGTGAGCCATGGCTAGGATTGCAGGTATGGGCCATGATCCCCAACTTTCTTTTTGAAAACTTTTATTTTGAGACAAGATTTACTAAGTTTCCCAAGCAAGTCCTGAACTATGAACCTTTGGCCTCAACCTTCCTAGTAGCTGGGAATGACAGGAATATGTCACCATGCCTGGTCTGGAATATGGGTTTTTAAGTAGTTATGGATTTTTATCAAACCAGTTTTTTAAATTATCATTTATGTAAGTATGTTATCTTCTCTACCACAATATAGCATTGTGAAAGCAAAGATACTTCTAATTATCTCTTAGAGGCAATAGTCATTTGTTAGGAAAGGTCAAAGAAATGAATGTCTACTTACAATTAAGTGGATATATACTTAATACTTTTATAATTTTTTATTATATATAAGGAGTAAATTTTTGTAAATTAATTCAAGAACTAATAACATGCCAAGAGTGCTAGCAGCAGGAGAGAGATGGGTGTTCTGTAGGCTTTTCCTGAGGTATCTCCCAAGAGCTCAGAAGTAGTTCTGGTACCAAACTGTATATTACACAAAGGGAAAAGAGAAAGCTGACAGAATCCAAATTTTTCTTTCTTTTGTCCTCAAGTATTAGTGGACACTGCAATCAATTAATCTGCCAGGTCAAATCTTTTTTACTGCTTAAGTAGACAAACTAAACATTAAAGCAGGGCTAGCCATTTACTGGAAAACCCGTAGGGCCACAAACTGTGGCTCAGATATTATATATTACCTTAGTGGTGGGTGAGTAGTGCTCACTGGTAGGCTCTTCATGAGTTGAAGCAGTATGACTAATAGAACATGAGACACAGGCAGCTATTTGTCAACTGTAATAACCAGTTAACTAAATCATGTTTGACTAAAGAAGCCCTCAAAGAGAACAAATTCATTGACAGGATCCATTTCTTCAAAGGCAAGCTGCCTTACGGTCAATCTTCCTTAAAGATTTACATTGAAACACTGGAACTTCTTGAAGACTTATCTTAGATAAAGACACAACAAAGCCCAGCTCTTACCACTTTCTGCAAGAGCAGCAGCCACTTCATTGAGAGTGGAGTAGATGTTGCAGGCAGCCCATCGGCACTGTGCCCCCAGAGCACCCAGAGTCTCCATAAGCACCTGCAGTAAAGAGTGGGGAGACAACCAAGCATGCATCAGACAGCTGCTCGAGACTGAGTTTACCTCTGCTAAAGACAGTCTCGGGGAGCCTGCACTCTTGTTCCCTCCTTCCATTTCTCAAGTGCTGTGATTACAGGCATGTGCACTACTCCTGGCTATGTTTGTATCTTTAATGATACATCAAGAGTAAACTAGGCCAAGTTTTTCAAGTTGTATTTTATAGAACATCTTCAGTATTTTCAACACAGGGCAGAGGAGCAGGCTCCAGTAAGACTATACTTTCCCCAGTAAGAATTAAGAATTTCAGAGAAAAAAATTTTTTAACAGAATACAGACATACAGTTTTTGGTTCTGTTTCAGATACATAAGACAAGACAGTTCCAACATGAAAAGACTACATAGAGTTGGGGATGCAGAGTGTTTGCCTCATACACAAGAAACCCTAGTTCAGATTCCCAGCACCGAACAGAACCAGGCACAGTGCAGTGCACAGGCCTGGAGTCCAACCCTGATTAAGTGGAGGGAAGATAACCAGATGTTCAAGGTCATCCCTGAAAGCCCCTCATGTTGACTGGGACTCTTTCATTTCTGGCAAAACATGGAAGGAAATGTTGGTTGAATATACAAGGGTAAGAAAAATTTGCTAAAATTTAAATTAAAGGCTAAATGTAGAAAGAAAGTGTGTAATTTGGAATTTTGCGTTTCTCCAACTAGACACAAGCTTTTGTACTCACAGGCAAGGTCCTTTCCAGGAGGAGCTGCCCAGTACTCACAAGGAAAGCTAGAGTCAAGGGGCTGATTGCCAATACAGTAGTTGCTCTCACAGGAAGCAAAAGCCTTAAGTAACAGAAGTTTAGCAATCATGTCTGCAAAAAGAGCCATGCAAAGACTCTTCATGGGGAGAGAGGAAAGCAAAACGGGGAGATTCGCAGGGACTGTCCTGAGCCCAGGGTAGGTCACTAAGATACATTACTTCTCTCTTTCTCCACAAAAGACAAGAAAATATCTTCTGCCAGACCTACCAACTAAGGAAAAAAACAAAACAAAACTGGATGTTATAGAAAGCAATAGGGACACCAGAAAAGCCCTCCCCTCACAGATGCTTGCTTAGTACTGACTGGATCAGAAGATTCAAGACTCTCACTAGCCCTACCACAAATCAGCAGTCTATGGATACAGGTAGGGAAGGCCCCTAAGGGGACTCTTCTGTGGCAGACTGGTGTTCAAGTAGCTGAAAGCTGAGGGCAAAGCAGAAAACACCAGGGAAAGCCCTTCAACAACCTATAGTCAGTCTGAGTAACCTATAATCTTCAGCCCACTGCTGAAGAGATGTGAAGCCTTATAGTGCTCAATCCAGCTGAAATTCCAGACAGTTCATGACTCTGATGGAAATGAAAAACTAATCAAAGTTTTCCAAGATGTGAAAACAAAAGTTGGAAGTTCATTTGCCTAGCATGCTTGAAGTGTTGGATTTGTTTGTCAGCACTGCCTAGGTTAGGTGTGATGGCACCTGCCTGCAACCCCAGCACTCAAGAGAAAAAAGAACTAGAAGTTCAAGGCCATCCTTAGCTACATGGTGAGTTCAAATTCAAGGACAGCTTGGTTTAAGTGAGGCTGTCTCAAAAAGCAAAACAAATAAAAACTATGATTAATAACAAATGTTTAGGTCAATAAAAAAAGATAACAATATTCACAAAGAGGGAAGTTAATAAAGAGAGATGATAACTATAAAACAGGTCGAATACAATGTCAGAAACAAACAAAATCACAACGTAATGAAAAACTGTGTAAGGTTCTGAGAATCCCTACAAACAGTCTTTCCAGACTGGGCACTTTCAAGGACAGAGCCAGTCACCTTACAGAGAGCAGGACAGACATCACAAACACAAAGAGAAAAGGAGAGTATGAAAAACAAACAAATAAACACAACAGACCACCCAAGGTGACTGGGGTCTTATCACATGATCTGACAAGTGTCACTGAAGTCCCCAAAAGCAAAAATGGAAACAACAGGGCAAAGCAAATCCATTTAGAGTTAGTGAGCAGTCATTTTCCAAAATTAACGAAAGAGGATCCAGGAACAATAGCTGAGCAGTGCCAAGATCCACTGAAAGTAGCCCTTGTGAATTCCTTATGTCTTATTCCAAGGTGTGTATGGGGAAGAGTGGATAGGAGTAGATCACCATGTACCCGACCGAAGCAAGGAAATACTCGAGAGATGAAAACAAAGGGCCGAAAGACAAAGACAACAGCTGAGAGTAACTCCGTCAGTAAAGTGCTTGCCTTGCGAGCATGAGGACAAGAGTTTGGTCTCTAGAATCTTCATGGAAAACAAAATTAAAGGGGAAAAAAAAGGCTGACGCCTTTTTTACCGTTGGCTGCTTGAAGAGCACCAGGCTAGTGAAGAGACCCTGTTTCAAAAAACAAAGTGGATAACTACTAGGAAAATGGCACCTGATGTTATTCTCTGACCTCCATACCCATGTACACACAGACACGTGTGCACACACAGACTCGGACACACAGACAAATTTTAAAGTGGGCTAGAGAGATATCTCATTAGGTAAAGTGCAAGGAGGACCTGAGTATGGATGCCCAGCATGCATGTAAAAAGCTGGCACAGAGGACTGTGCCTGTAATCCCAGTGGTGTCTGCCTGTATTCCTGTATTCCTGCACTGAGAGGTGTTGATGGGAGGACCTGAGGCTTGCCGGCCAGACAGCCAGCTACTCCAGACAAATCTAGCTCTAGATTCAGTTGGAGTCTGCCTCAAAAACTAAGATGAAAGGTGACTGAGGAAGACAACTGAGGTTGACGTCTAGACTCTACACACACACATACATACACATACATAGACCCCCTCCCTGCCCGCCACACAGGCACAGGGAGGGGGAGAGGGAGGGAGGGAGGGAGGGAGGGAGGGAGGGA